GTCTATCTATTATGACACTAAAATTAAATATTTTTGCCCACTATTTCTCTTAAACGCACCCTTATTTTAACTGCCCCAATATGTTTTTGCCTACCAGTTTAAATTTATGGTGGGATATTTACTCATTTGGCTTACTTAGTCATCTCCGTCATTACCTACAGATGAATTCATCCATACAAATGAGGGAAAGTTACTATTTGTACATATTTTTTTAAATATATGGTTTAATCCGTCAGTACCTACAGCATATGTAGGCAAATTAGCCTCAAGCTTGACACTTTTCGCCGAAGTGTCCGTCTGAACCCCAGACACCCTGAACAACCAGAGTCAAAGCCCATCCACGAGAAACATCCACCAAGGTAATGGCGACATAAAAAATCATAAGTGGCCTAATCAAGTTTTCATATAGCCTTGCTTGCTTGGCACCATGCAGATGCGCCTACCCAGCTCTCCGCCGAAGTGCACTCGCTCGTGCACAGTTGAGCCATTTTTTGTTGTATGCTCAGTTGGCCCAAGGCATCTGAAGAGATCCGCAGCTTCAACTTCCGTGCCCAGCCGGCTCAGTTTGCCTCTGGCCGATTCTGTCTGGCCGGCAAATTGGTGGGTATCCTCGGCTGAATTAACTCGTTTCAGGTCACTTGGATAGCCTTTAAAAGGACCTGGCCGCCAACTTCTTGCAGCATAGGCTGCGATCTCAGTTGCTATGCCTGAGGGATAGACGCTGTCGCTTGGATACCGGTTGTCGTAGGCACCGGACAGTGAGTGACAAGACCAGTCAGGATAGTTGAAGATGGCTGTGGCAGGCGATTGAAGCAGTGATCGGGGCTGTCCAGAATGGGTACCAGAAGCCTCAGGCGTCTCAGCTGTAGATGCCGGAGCGACTGGATTTGAGGCAGGGAGCAGCCCCGAAGCGACAGGAGTAAAGTTGTCAGTCAGTGACTTGGTTGTATGAAAAAAAACGGCAGAGCCATGATTAGATGTTAGAGCTGCAGTGGTCTTTGTGGTCTCCAGGGTTGAATTGAAGTTAGGAAAACAGGAGGAAGAAGAAGAAGAAGAAGAAGAAGAAGAAGCCGAAGAAAGGGAGGATGAAGGAGGAGATGGGAGTGAGGCGGAGGCTGCAGAAACGGACAAAGTGGAGGGGCCGAGGGTTGGCGACATGTTGGCGTTGACTGTGAGGGTGGACGTGGATGGAATTGGAGAGGCTGGGAATATGTGTTGAGTATAGCTGTCCTCATTGTCCCAGGGGGAGGCCAAAATGTTTGGGATGGATGTGCTGTCGCAGGTGGGACTGGCTGTAGGCGTGGAGATGGCTGCGGCCAAAGAGGGTGACGCGAACACTGCTGACGGCGAGTTAAGTGAAGCAGACCACATCGGAACTCCACCCATCTGACCTAGGCCATGAAATAAGGGACGGTTTAGGCGAAAAGCTTTACAAAATGGAAAAGAGCAATGGAATTGCCAAAATGGCGATGTCTACGAGAAAAGAATGCTAATGGCAACTTGGCGAAAAGGATTTTGAGATAAACATGTGGGAAGCGGATTGATCTCATTTGCACAACTTGATCATGTTGTCAGGGTGATCTGCATTGTTGTAGGAGTCGACTGTATACGAGGTATGCCACAAGTGACGATGCAGGCGAAACGTCTGGGCATGTACCAAGTCCACGATCCGAACAGCATGGCAAGGAGCTTCGGAAAAGTTCCATTCCACTTTAGAAAACGAGGCAAAACTACGCTTAGTATGAGAGCCATTCACCCTATTTCGTTTAAGGTAATGAAGGACTGGTAGAAGAATTTTCACACAATGATATGAGTAGAGCTGAAGTTTCCAGTCAATTTCACATTGCCTTGCTTTCCCAAAAGTTGTTCTCATCCAGGCACCAGTGGACTGCAGTTTCGACCTCGCATCGGTCTTATCAGCAGCCTCATCGGGAGTCCGTATTTCAAGTGGAGTTTCAAGACTGCCAGTAAATCAGTAATATGCGATGTTGTAGTCGATTGTTATAGCAAATATACGTTTGCTTCATCGAAAATCCCACCAACGAATATGATATGGTAAAAGGCCTGGCCTTCCTTAAAATTCACATCTACCCTGAGACCCAATGGCACTCGTGGTTAACATGTCAAGCTCACGTTCTGTACTGTCATGGTTCAAATCCCTCTGGGGGTGTTGATAAGACAGATGCAAGGTCGAAACTGCAGTCCATTTCTGTCTGAATGAGAACAACTTTTGGGAAAGCAAGACAATGTGACATTTCAATGGAAACGTCAGCCCTACTCATAACATTGTGGGAAAATTATACTATCGGTCCTTCGTAACCTTAAACGAAATATGATGAATACCTCTCATATTACTGATTTACTGGTAGTCTAGAAACTCTACTCCAATACGAAAAGTACACTTATTCAGCGAAAGCAGTTTTCATATCTACGAGTAAACTTATGGGAATTGACACTTATAGCCAATCCTGTGTTGTAGCCACAAAGAAGTAGAGCTCAAACTTTGCATTAGCATCATCTGATCTCTTAGTTTTCGTGCTATCTGGTCAGCTTTGGAACTGGCTCTAATTGAATTTTGCCCTTCCATAAAATTGTCAAAGTTTACGTTATTTGAAGCACAGCATAGTCTATGTTCGTCTCAAATCTGTGATTCGCTTTGAAAGGTCAAAAAGGAAGAAGTGAACCCATCCTCGATCTAGCGAGCAATTCCTTTAGACTACTCAAAAGATGAAGCTAGACCAACCGATAAATCTCTTTGATTCGTTAATACTAAATAAGTTGTCTATTATCCTATGATGTAAAATAGTGGATCCTTCGACATTATCTTGGGGCTCGGTTTTAATTGACAAATAAATCGAATCTATCCAAAAGTATACTTGTTGTTGTTCCTTTATAGTTTAGGAAAACAGGTGAATTGAGCGAACTGACGAGTAGATCATCGTGAATAACCCTTCGCAGAGTTAAGCTCGCTCACTGTCACTTTACAGGTCATGGGCGCTGATTTCCTTGTAATATAAAAGCCAACCGACCAGACTATAGTCTTCTTATTTAGTATACATCCAAAAGATTGGTCGATTTGTTGAAAGTTTTTATCAATCTTACATTGACTTCCATTAAAGTTCCCTTTTGAGGAGATGGAACTAGACTTATGAGCTTTGCTACTCACGAAACTGTATATATAAGTGATGTTAAGGAAGATATCAAAGAAAGGTTTATTCATAGCTTGGATACAGAATACTTTTGTTTCGCTGTAAAAACTAAGTTACGCTAATATCTCATCGAATATATTGAATTAATTTTTCGTATTTAAGTAGAGTTTCGAAACTACCAGTAAATCAGTAATATGAGATCTATTTAGCCAATTTCGTTTAAGGTGATGAAGGACTGGTAGAAGAATTT